CTGCAAAGGGCCCGAGCAAAACACCTCAGGACTGGGGCAAAATGGAACCCGGGAAATGGAACTCTCTCTGTTGACAAGGGTTAAACCTGATACCTTCTTTAGGGTCCAGCTTCACGTGTGCAGAATGAATGGCCCAGCCAGACATTAACGCATATTTCCTGGAGAAAGCAAATACTGAGTATGTGGTGGTTTGTGCCCTTGTTAGGCAAATCCCAAGTGAGTTGCACAAATGTGCTGACTTCCGAGGATTTAGCAAGAACAATGACTTGGGTCACTGGGACTTAAGGCGGATATGAGCTATAAGGAAAGACAAAAATAAATGCTTCTGTGCACAGGGGGAAAGAGGCTGTAGTACTGCTGACTTCACTGCACTCGTGGTTTACAAATCTAAGAGGCCCATTCATTCAAGCCATCAAAAGCCCTTCCTGACCACGGAGGTTACCTAATGATTCCTGAACTGATGAACTAGGTTTGCAAGTGTTTCCCTGGCCTTTGCTCCCCTTCCCTTCCCTCGTGAATCAGTTCTGTATTTCTCCCCATGCTCTCCATTCCCTAATCACATGCACTTCCCTGCGGATGCTAAAATGTTCTTGATGGGTTTGGAGAAGCAGCCTAGCCTCTGGACTTTGCCCAGTGTTGTTTGAGAGGGTCCAGCTTCCATCCCAGGTGCCATTTCACAAAGCTGAGGTTAGGGACCTGCAGCTCCTCAGAGAAGTGGCTCGCAGTCAGCAATGCCTCTGGGAAGACCCTTCTCCCAGAGTGACATTCCAAGGTCAAAAACCAGGAAACTGGAGCTGGTCCCATCTCAGTTATAGGCAAGGCCAGGAGGCACAGAGAGAAGAAGCACTGAGATGTTTTTCTCAGGGGAGTGCATGCTCAAACTACAATATTAAGATGACAAATTAAGTAGTGCTGTACAGGATGAGCTAAAGCAGGGGGAGATTGGAGGCCAGGGAGAGGGGGACACCACGGTAATGAGGGTCTGCAGTGGAAGGGAATGTGGGAGTAAAAAAGTGGAGGGGCTGAGTTTAAGGGACAATGATGAGGAAGAGTGGACTGTCCTGCCCACTTAATTGGAGAAACTCTGGAGTCTGAGCTTTCGTCAAAGTTGCCTCAAAGATTTGCGCCAAGGTGACTAGGGGAATGAATGGCATGGGAGAGTCTGAAGGAAAAGGTTGTTTTGGGAAGAAGATGAAGAGCCTGAGCTGCTACCAGGAATCCATGAGGAAATGCCCCCACAGACTGCTGGAAATGAGGGCCTGGGGCTGAAGCCTGAGTTTAGGGCTGACTCTCCATCTAGACAGTGAGTGCACTGTGGGTTCGAATCCCAGCTCTGCCACTCATGAACCTTGTGACTTTGATTGGACACTTGATGCCTTTGTGTCTTAGGTTTCCTAACCAATAGAAATGGGCATAGTATCTACCCCATAGGGCTGTTAAAGAGGTGAAATCAGGTAATCTGTATAAAGCATCTGAAATAGTGCCTGGCACATAGTAACTGCTCAACAAATGTTAGGTGCTATTATTACCATTATTATTTTGTAGTCATCCCAACAAAGACCATAGCTAAAGCCATGCGGGCAGGTGAAGTTACAGGCAGAAGACAAAGGTCTGAAGAAAGAATGTAGGAGAATGTATACATTAAGACGTCATACATATTTACCTCATGTTTATTTTTTCCCTCCAAGACTCCTTCTTTGAACGTGAGCTTCCAGGCTTGGTCCCTGGGGTATGTGTGAAGAATCTGGTCAAGATTTTTGAGCCCCACGGCAGGCCAGCTGTGGACCATCTTAACATCACCTTCTATGAGAGCCAGATCACTGCATTCCTTGGCCACAATGGAGCAGGGAAAACCACCACCTTGTGAGTCTTCAGCCCAAGAGGCTGGATTCCCATTCCATCCTGTCATTTTCTGGCTCTATTCTTTTCCTATTAGCTGTATTCTACTCTTTCCCACTGAACTGTAGTGACAAAAATGTGCTCTATATTTGTGTCCCAGAAATGTGGAAAGCACGCTGCAGTATTCAATGCTTCCTCAAATATATTGTTTCATTTGATCCTCACAAGGAGTTGGAGAGGGAGGCAGCGTACCTTTATAGCCCCCTTTGTGTGCTGGGGAAGTGGACATTAGAGAGTTGAAGTGACTTTGCCGAGGCCACCAGATCGTAATGGTTCAGGAGGGGCAAGAGCCAGGTGCTCCCGCAATTGTTTCTGGTCTCTGACACTGCGAGCCTATCCCCCCACCCCCACTTCTCCAATGTTACTATCGTAGATGGATGTGATAAAATCACGGCCTTCCCCATCATATGCCCTCAGTCTAAGTTCTACTAAGAGCATTCCTTTTCCTACCTATGAGGGTTGGTGGTAGTTCTGGAGAAAGTAAAAAGGGTGCAGCCTCTAGAGGAGTAATAGCCTGGTGATTGAAGGCCAAGTTCGGGGGAGATGAAGGCTAGACCTAGACCGCTCTGCTTAGGAAGCTCCCTTCCCTTTGCTAAGAGACCTGAGCGCCATCTGCTGAGGAGGAGAATAAGGACAGCTAAAGGTTTCCCAAGGAGCGGCAGAGGCGGCCCTCTCAAGGGACAGGGAACCCATGTGACATGCAGTCTTCAAGTCCTTTGGCTTCTTTCAGAGCCCCAGGAAGGAACAGGAGTGTACACCCTGCGCTGGAATGTTCTCTGAGGGCGTTTCAGTGTGAATGGAATGCGGGGCTGGTGCCATTACACTTGGTTCTGTTTCCCTCTAGTGGCTGATCAACAGAGATTTCAGCTTCTAGGTATTATACAAATTCAGATAGCCTGAGATTGTATCTGAACTCAGGGACGGCGCTGGGTGGGGCAGCGCCAAGTCCGTCTCATTTCTCTCCTTGTTAACAAATATGGTCAGTGAGCCTGACCTCCATCCAGGACCCCAGGGCTTCTCACAGGCAAATACATTACTTCATCGACTGCTGAAATGCAACTTCCCCTGGGGGTTGAAACACAATTTTGAATAAAAATAATATTTTTGAGTTTTACTTTATGCTGGCATTGTTCTAAGTGCTTTTTGGGTAGTAGCTCATTTAATTCTCACAACAGCCCCATGATGTGGGCATCATTATCTCTCCTTTTACAACAACAACAAAAAAGACAAGCATTACTATTGGGCTCTTTATGTTTTGGATCCAAAGATGATATTGCTGGTTGTAATTCTCATGCCTGGTTTCAATCAATTAATCAGCAAATACATAGTGAATGGCTGGGCTTCTCACTAAGACCCTTCCTTCGTGCTTTCTAATAGGGACATCAGGCAAAGCATTGCCCCATGCACTGAATACCTTTTACTGAGTCCCTAGAGCACCAGGCACTGTGATGGTTAAGTTGGGCAGGGCTCTTTGGCTGTAAGTGAATGTTCTGCAGCTGTGAATCCTGGAGGCCCCTGGGCGTCTGCCTGGGAGCACTAGGAAATAAGTAGAAACAGAGAAGGAAGGCAGATGTGGTCATCCACATTAGGGCCTGGGTGTCCACACCGGCGCCAAGCCCTGTATGGAGACTGTTGGCTCCCTATAGCTAATGATGGTTTGGGTTCAACTGAGAGCCATGGGCAAGAATCACTGGGAGAGTGGGGGCTGCTGTCCCCAGACGCTCCTAAAGGCCATCCTCTCTGACACTGACTTCTGTGTTTGGCAGGTCCATCCTAACGGGTCTGTTGCCACCGACATCAGGGACTGTGCTCATTGGGGGAAAGGACATTGAAACCAGCCTGGATGCAGTCCGGCAGAGCCTTGGCATGTGTCCCCAGCACAACATCTTGTTCCACCAGTAAGCAGGACAGGAATTAAGACCCTCCCCAAGCCTTGTCCCCATCCTGGCCCCCAGCACACATATTCTCTGGAGCCCACCTCAGGGATGCCAGCTCTGGGGACAGCAGGCAATACTCTTGTTTGGTTTTCCCCATGTTCAAGGTCCTTTGTACTGCTTGCAATGAGAGGCGTCCCTTGGAACATGGCACTGTGCCTGTGGGGCTCAGAGGAGCTGAGATGTCCCCCTCGGAAGAATGATCTCCCTTCTCTCTGACAGGGTGGCCAGTCCTGGGGCCCTTGCTCAGCCCTGAACAATTCCCTCTCAGTGACCGAGAGAGAAGATCATTGTTCCTTTTCCCTTTTAAGCCAGGCACTAAAAACTAACTTTTTCAGGAGGATTTTCAGTTGCTTTCTCCCCCGCACCCCAAACTTTTATTTCTTATCTAAAAGGTTATATATAATCATTGAAGAAAGGAAAAATGGAACTATAAATTAAATGAAGAAATCAAAAGTTCACCTGTAATTTCACCATCCAGAGATAACCACTGTTAATACCTTGGTATATAATTTTCCTGTGCATGGATAGATATACATATATACTTTAAAATTAGAAAGGATGGTAAAACTACATACAATTTTGTAGCCTGCCATTTAAAAAAATATATGATTGCATTTTTAAACTAAGCTATCGTGAACATCTTTTCATGTCATTACACATTCTTCTATAAAAGACTTTTTTAATGTTTATAGACTATGCTGTTGCATAAATATACTATTTAAGCTGTCCCCCCCCCTTATTAGATACTTTAGCAGGGTCTCTTTTTTTGTTGTTTTTGTTTTATAAACAACACTGTGACGAACATCTTGACTACTAAATCTTTGTGCTTAGCTATTTCTGTAAGGTAAATTGCTGGAAGTGGAACTGCTGAGCCCGTTGCCTTTCTCCCTGCTCCATCCCCATAGTCTCACAGTGGCTGAACACATACTGTTCTACGCCCAGCTGAAAGGGAAGTCCTGGAACCAGGCCCAGCTGGAGATGGAAGCCATGTTGGAAGACACGGGGCTCTACCACAAGAGGAATGAAGAAGCCCAGGACCTATCAGGTGCCCTGTGTTAGAAACAGACAAGACTACAGATGGTGCATCCGTTGTTTCCCAAAGCACAGAACTGTGTGTGTGTGTGTTCTTAGGCTTATAACAGGAGGCCTCCTAAGAGTTGGAGCACTTCTTTAAAGTTATTCTAAGCATCTAAGAGCACCCCTCCCCCATCATTTCCCACGTGGAACACAGCAGCCTGGGCTATATTTGTTGTGATGTTTATGTGTTTGAACTACAAATGTGAGAACAGCCTTCAAAAATTCTCATCCTAAGAGGCAGGGGTTGCCTTTTCTGCATTTAAAGAGGCCTGTACACCACTAGGGTTTGAACGCTGTATAAACATATAAGGAGGCAGCATCAAACCACTGCCAAATTTAAGGTACCCCCCACTTATGTCGCCTGCCCTGGGCCCTTCTCATCCTGTTCTCACAGCCCCTGTGACACCCCACACCTTGTGCCTCTAGGTGGCATGCAGAGGAAGCTGTCTGTGGCCATTGCTTTTGTGGGAGATGCCAAAGTGGTCGTTTTGGATGAGCCCACCTCTGGGGTGGACCCCTATTCGAGACACTCAATCTGGGACCTGCTCCTGAAGTATCGCTCGGGTAATAGCCACTGCTCAGTGCCCTCGGCTCTCACTGAGACTTCATCTGTGGTCCCCACTTTCTCACACCTTGTATTTTGCAACTCAGGATAGTAACAACCATAACTATACTCAGATGGAGCTCTATGAGTGACGTAGGTGAATCTAAGCTCCAGTGCAAGCCTCCCGAGATTTTTACACACATATAAGCAGAGAGTTAGGGATAGAATAGCCTTCTTCCCCAATGTTCTAGAAAGCTCTCACAGCTTGCAACCCTTCTGTCTGGAAAAAAAGTGGGTATAGCTCCACATGAAATTCCCCTTTGACTAAGAGGACCCAAGTCACCTGCAAACATCCCAAGAAGCTCCATAGCTGTCAGATGACCATCCAGGACCCGGGGTGAGGGCGACATGCCCATATTCAGTGCTCAAGGAGACTGCTGCAGATAGAAAGATCTTCAAATGGGACAGTCCCTTCTGTATCCTGGCACCTTCCAAGCAGAGGGCGCAGATCCAGAGGAGACAGCAAGCAGAGCTGTGTGCCCATGAAAGTGACGGTGTGGTTCAACCCTGTGGTCAATTTGCCATCCTGGAATCCCCATTACCGTTTTCTTTTAATGACATTTCCAGCTAGTAGAAAAGAGTGTGTGTGTGCATGTGCATGCATGTGTGCGTGTGCGTGTGTGTGTGTGTTTGTGCGTGCGCGCTTTGCAAAGATTATAATGCAGTGCTTAATGACCCAGAGACTATACATATAGAACTCAGTAGACACTGACAGACAATAATGAATATGTCCCATATATGGCAGTTTATTTGAATAAGGTCCTGTGCCCGATGAAAAGATACTGTACGTGACAGTATCTTTCCCACTTGCAGGATGCTGTACAATGTTAGCTGTTGTCATTATTATTCCAGTACTCTGGACTTGGTTTCAGAGTACTTGCTTTTATTTAGTAACTCGCAGTTTTTGAACCCATGTAATGGGAGGTGGCTGTATGTCGTCTCCTGTGCAGCCTGGCCCAGGCCTGCCGGTGAGTCCCCTGCCCCCTGCCCTTGCAGGCAGGACCATCATCATGTCCACTCACCACATGGATGAGGCCGACCTCCTTGGGGACCGCATTGCCATCATTTCTCATGGAAGGCTCTACTGCTCGGGCACCCCGCTCTTCCTGAAGAACTGCTTTGGCACCGGCTTCTACTTAACCTTGGTGCGCAAGACGAAGAGCCTGCAGAGCCAGAGAGCAGGCTGTGAGGTGTGTGTCTACCCAGGGAAAGGGCCTGTGCTGGGTGAGCAGGAATGCACAGTTTGGTACTGCCTTTCTGGGCATTTCTACCCAAATCAGGCTCCAGCCGGCAGCATGGACCTCTTTGTTTCTGGGGCCATCTGTAGATTTTGATAAAGTGACATTCTGAACCCTCCTACAGAGATGCTTTACCCCAAACGGAACAACTAGTTTTAAATAACCTGAGGTTATTGAACTCCAGAATCCTAAACTACGCATGTTGTATGCTGCAACCTAGAAGTGGATGTCTTATTCTGCAAGGTTACACTTTTTTAAGGAGAGTAGTTGTTTAAGCTTTCTTTTTCCATTCCAATATTTATGTTCCTTAATTAAACCCAAATTCCACAGGTAAATGAAAACTAAGAAAAGCCTTCCTTGAGAACTATAATCTAAAAGTAGTAAAGCCAAAACTACCAACCAGCAGAGACCTCGTCAGCCTATCAGGAGACCCAGGTTCAGGTCTGGGCCAAGTGGACAAACCATGTCCTCCTAGGCAAATGACTTCATTGGTTGTCATTGTTGGTGTTTTTGCAGACAGAAAATAAAATGGATAATCTCTGCTTCTACTTCTTAGGATTTGGTGAAGATACATAAGATAAAGTATTGTGAATGTGCCCTGGGCTCCTTGAGAACAGGCACTGCTCACATTCAAGATGTCACACTTATTATATTGTAACAGTTTGTACGCCTCTGGCTCCTGTAGTTTAAGGGTCTGGCTTCTTCTGGGTTTTCCTGTCCTGGGTAGATTTCCACAGCCCAGCATACATCCATGGGGAGGGTGGGGTAGAATGTCATGCACAGTCAGACCTACAGCTATCATATAAGTAATGACAAGCCAAAGGGATCCTTTGAGGTTCTGCTCCTCTCTGTGCCTGACTCACTCACTCTCCAGGATAAAATCAAATAGCCACACCTTCAAAATGCCCAGATGAAGTAATAGATTAAAACCGTGAAGAAAAATGTGTGGACCACCCTTGGTGGTGAGAAACAAGTAAGGCACGGTGGTGACAGCAGTTGATATCAGGGAGATGCTATCATTGAGGTGACTGGTGTCCATCTGTCGTAGGGGACCTGCAGCTGTGCGTCTAAGGGTTTCTCCATCAGGTGTCCAGCCCATGTAGATGAGATGACTCCAGAACAAGTCTTGGATGGTAAGGACTGGGGCAGGCCGTATTTTGGTTCTTGTCTGGCAATCATCTCTTGATATTGTTGGGTGTGCCTTCTGTTGTCAGGCATTTTAATGGGAACAAAGAGAGAACACTCTGTGTACTTCTCAAGTTCACGTCATGCATTTGCTTATCATTTTCTTTGAGTTTCTGTCTCCTCCTCCATTCCCAAAAGGAGTTTAAAAGTCATGGGCCTAAGACACTCTCTCTTTAATGAGGAATCTAGTCTTTGTCACTCTGTGCACTTGGCCATAATTAAGCCTCCATTCCCGGGGTCCTTCTGTCCTGGCACAGGCCACATTCCAGAGTGCCCCGAGAGATGGGCTTCTCCAGGTGCCAGGTGGAGCCACGGAGATGCACAGATCTCATAGCAAGCTTTTCCAGAGAGTCAGGTTGCGCTGTGTGGATGCCAAATCTGTGGAATATTGCACACCCCTGTTACACTCCTAACTTTCCCCTCAATATACCAATTTTCCAGCAATTCTCCCTTGGGTTACAGTGCATTATACCCCTGAAGAGGTGCCCCCGCCTCCAGGGCAATGCAGAAGAGGGGCTGTCACTGTAGAAGCACTGTGACCTCAGGGACCCAAAGTGCTCGCCAGAAACTCTTTCCATTCTCCATTAATGCCCACTTCCCATCCCTCCCCTGGGGTGTCTTTGCAAATGGAATACTACACATCCCATACTCCTAAATAGGAGTACCACTAAACCTGTGGACTGACCCAGGTTAATGAAGCGGGGAAAATATCTGCTTATCAAAGGAAAACAAAGTTTCCTAGTTAGCACAATTTTGTTTCCTAAATCTGAGGACTGTATAAACTAACATCGTGTGAAACAAGAAAACGAGACAATATTTGTGTACTGTGCTTTAAATTTGAGGAAAAATGCCCAGAGTCGTATCACAGGTACTCGCTTGCTCTCCTTTTGCACTGGCACAACCTGTGGTGTGCATGACACGTCCTTTTAGGACCACATTTCTGTGTCTTTTTTCCTAGCCTGCTTTGCTGTGGGTTTCTCCCTCTTTTCTGAGGTTCCTTCCCAGGAAAAATCTTGGTCAAGAAAGTGATCATTTCTTTTAAATGAATACTAATTACTGTGGTGTACCAAAATCAAGTTGGAAACAGAGCCTGCTGGCTGGGTGATTTTTTTTTTTAAATATTCCTTTATTTCTAAATAAAGGTTTGTTTTCTTTGAATAGAATAGGGATGCTGTGAATGGTGAGAAGCACAGTAAGTAGTTATGCCCCAAATCAGAGATCATTCTAATCCCCAGTTCACTCCTTGGAAGCCTTTCCCCTCATAGGCACCCATGTACCACACACTCACTCACAGACCTCCCTGCCAGACGCCGGCTGCCCTAAAGGCACTTCTGTGAAGGCTGACACACACATCTAAGACACAATTCCTGGGAATCCAGCAGCTTCAGGCTGGATTTCCTTCCTAAGAGAACAATGAACGTGACCCCTAGAGAGCTCTTAGGGCAGAACTGCTTCCTCACGCAAGGAGCCCTTCAGCCTCTGTGTGACATCATCTCTGAACTAAAGACAATTGTGTTCAGCTTGCAGGTTTGACATAAAACAAATCTTCCAGTCCAGCTAGGCAGAAGGATTGGGGCTCAAAGCCACAGAATCCCTCCACATGGGTCATGTCTTAAACAAAGAAAGAAAGAGAACCCACTTGGGTAATCCTGACCCATGGGGACTGCTTGTGGTAATACACACGAGAGCTGGGGTCAGAGCCCACCAAATCCCTTTACCTTTGACTTGCCTCTCAAGATAATGGGCTAGGGAACTGCCTCTTCAAATGCATGCTTTAAACTTTTTTTAATTAGATTTTTCATTTTAAAGTAACGCGTGCTTGTGCATGCAGCTCTGTTCTAACTGTATGAAACTATCGGGTCAATACTTGATACCAGACACTGCCCCATGCCCCATGCTGTGCACCCAGGCTCCATCCCCATGGTCCATTTCCACAGCTTCCTAATCCCCTTCTGCATTTCCTGCGAGATGGCCATTAATTTTTTTCTTTTGAGGAGGCAGGTGCAATCACAAGGGAACTGGCACAGTCCTCCAAAAAGTGATACCAGCCTGGGTGTGCGATTTAGGAAGGGGAGTTCTCACTCAGCTTAGTTACAAGTTCCAGTATGTACCTTGGGCAAGTCCCTTATACCTTTAGCCAGACCAGGAAAATGAAAGCAACTTGACTCAACCCTCAGGCTTGCGGTGTGACTACAAATGAGCAATAATAATGACGAGTGCTTTCTTACTTGAGATGATGTTCGTGCTAACAATAGCAGCTAGTACTCACCTGTGCGTCAAGCACAGCATTCTCGGTGTCTTACGTATATTAACTGACCCAGTCCTCACAGATAACAATGAAGTCAATGCCATTATTTTCTCCTTTTCACAGATGAAGAGATTAGGCTATGACCTGCCCAATGTTACCTAACTGGTAAGGGACAGAACATTCGATTGAACAAACTGGCACGGAGGCGTTACATGACCTCCCAAGGTTGCACAGCGAGTTAGTGGGGCACTTTTGTTCTATCTCCCTCTCTCTCTCCAGTGCCCATCACAGGGCCAACCAAGCTATAAAGAGACATTGTAGAGCCTCATTGTAGAGTCCTCCAAAAGAGTCACTGCTGAGGAACGAAATGCCCCTTCCTGAAATGGGAGGTGGAAGAAAGTAGGGGACCTGGGCAAACTCACAGTGTTCCAGGTTCTAGAAAACAGAGTTGACCTCAGTGCCTTCTCTTGTCCTAGGGGATGTGAATGAACTGATAGATGTGGTTTGCCACCACGTTCCAGAGGCAAAGCTGGTGGAATGCATTGGTCAAGAGCTGATCTTCCTTCTTCCGAATAAGAATTTCAAGCAGAGGGCATACGCCAGCCTCTTCAGAGAGCTGGAGGAGACACTGGCTGACCTGGGGCTCAGCAGTTTTGGAATTTCTGACACTCCCCTGGAAGAGGTAAGGCCGAGATCATAGCTGATTTCTTCCAGCTACCAGAAGAGGTGGTTCTTTGCAAAAGTCTCACACTAGAGGTAAGTTTTGTAAAGGCAAAAGGCCATAAGTCCCATCCAAGCATAACAACTATCTACATTTTTGGCTTACTTTCTCCTTCCTTTGTCCATATGTACACATGCTTTCTGTAGTTGTGGTGACCGTGTGCATACACTTTTGTATTTATAGAAGACTGTTCTCAGACAAAGAGTCACGGTGTGTTTTCTTCTTCTTATGAGGCAATACCCCCCAAAATTAAGCTTGGCTTAGGTTTTTCTGAGAGTGGGAATATCTAAACCAAATTCTTTCTTTTTTCCTTCTTGACAGATATTCCTGAAGGTCACAGAGGATTCTGGTTCAGGACCCCTGTTCACGGGTATGGTGCTGGAGTTTGTAGCTTATTCATTCCCTCGCCACACCCCTCCCCTAAACTCTATCTTGAAAAATCTAAGGAAAGACTCATGAAACAACAAAGCAGATAAACACTCCTCCATAGTATTTATCTAACCTCCAAATAACAGGCGTTGGCATTCTTGGTTCCTTTGAAGGACAAATGGAGTTAGGTCTGGGTGGGAACCCTGGATGAATCAGGCTGGTAGCTTCCCCATCCCTGAGCTTCTTATCCCCCCTTCCAGGTCTCTTGGTCCTGCCACGCCACCATCCTCACCTCCTCCTCTTATCTCCACCAGGCTTCTGGTTTACTCCTGTCTGCATGAGTGATAGCCTGCAGAGTCCTTCGAGATAATGGTGACAGTAAATACAACCCAGATGCCAGCTGGGTTCCCCTGACCACTTTGACATCAAGATAAAATTATTCTGAACCCTCCTACAGTGCCCATGGAAATTTGAAACTGCAAGGACCACAATTCCCGTGTATTCTGGGGGGTCTGTCTTCTATATATGGAAACCTCAGGGCCATCTAGCCCCTTCTGTGATTTCTACCAAAATCTCCAAAGCACACAGCATTCATGAGTGTGGTAAACTTTACTGTGGAGGGTGGGGGTGGGCAGATGAATGTGTAGGAGGAATTACCTGCCGCAACACAGGCCACTTCGGCTGGAGCAATAGGCACCCACCCACACTGATAAAATCCTCTGCCTGGCTCCCCTCTCCCCGTTTGTGTTCCTCTCTCCTGCATAGCTATGTGGCAGTTTTCCTTTGCTGCCTTGAGCTCCTGCCACTGGTTACCTCCCTCTACCCAACGTGTGGCATGTTATGGTGTTTTCCTATGCAAAAAGTATTTCTTCCCTGTGGCGTTTCTGGTGCCAGCTCTTTAAATAATACGGTTTTCATCTTGCTTCGTGATTCCAGCAGTTTATTCGTCAGCTATGCCTAGAGCTTCCGATGGTCAACTATCCCAGCCTAAATATGCTCCATGACCCACGTGGGTCATGTGGTAATCAGAAGAGGTGGCCACTCTGGCAGAGTGGGGAGCGAAGGGCAGTCCTCTGGAGGCTGTGGGAGCAGCTCACTACAGGGCCCCACGTTTTCTTCCCAGCTTTGCAGACACAAAAATTGAAATCTCTCGGCTCAGCCAAAGTCAAAGACTTGCATTAACCAAAACCAGAATGAAAATATGCTAATTTATATCAGAAGCTAGGCTGAGTTCCAGAGTCGGGCCCTTTATCTGCAGAAAACACTTCTTTTTAATAATTAGGCCCTCTGAGGAGAATGAATTACACATCAGAAGACTGGTCCGCCTGGGCATAGAATGGAATGTTTCAGAGAGTCAAGGGTAGTAGTGGGTAAGAATAAGGTTGACCAAACATTAAACCTGAGCTTCCTAATTTGCAGAGTAGCTTTGGGTAAATAGCCTCTTTGTATTTTGGTTTCCTCATCTGCAAAATGGGGGTAATAATATTATTGATCTTTTAGGGTTGTTGAGAGAAGTAAATGAGTTAATACCTGCCAAGTGTTAACACAGTATACAGTTTCTCATTGAGATTTAATCGCACCCTAATTTCAACATTTACAAATCATCCCTTACCTCAAACTTGTGTAGCCCTCTATACTTGAGAAAGCACTTAACATGCATTGTTTTGATTGTCACTATAATCTCATGAGGTGGGTAAGGCAGGGATTAGTCCTACCTGGGGGAAACTGAGTTGACACAGCTTGGATGACTTGCCTAAGTCGTACAGGCTTCTGAGTCGTGTTCCCTGGTTTTAGCCTTCAAATCTAGATGCCAAACTCTCACTGCCTCCCATTTTTCAGATGGCTAAATGAATTTTTTTTAACTGGCTCAGTTTTAAAGGGTGACATTTTCTGATCTAGTCTGCAAAGTGTGAAGGAACCTGTCCATTGAGGTCACATGTGGCATGGTACCAAGAGGGTCAGTGCCACTTCTGAAGGGGATGGCTCACAGCCAGTAACCACTAGAGGGCAGCAGAGTCAGGACAAACTGGGATTCTAATTGTGAACTTGGCTCTGGCTAGGGGAGAGGGCTCCAAGGCTGAATGGGGCATCAGGGATAGATATGAGGAGAGGCAGCAGGGGTCCAGAGGGAGGGCTGGCCATAGCAGACATCAAATCTGAGCCCAGATCAAGAGAAAATAGACTGGAGAACTAGGATTCTGGTACCACGTAGTCAGTGAGCCTGGAGTTGTTCTCTGCCCTCTGAGCAGCTAGTCCCGCTGCATTGCAGGTGCCTGAGAACACTAGCTGAAAGCATGACTGAGCTGCCTCTGTCCTGGGATACTTTAGAAGTGTTCAGAAAGCAGCTGGGACCCATTAGAGGTCCCCCAGGCTCTCCCTTTATGTCCAGCAACATGCGCTGTAAATGAATACTAAACAGTAATGATGAGCTATAGCTTCAGCATAACTGACCGCTTGCAATGGTTGGTAAAGCATGTTCACATGTGTTAGCTTATTTGAGCTTTGTAACAACCCTGTGAAATGTCCTCATTTTCATTTAGCAGATGAGTAAACTTAGATTCAGGCAGAATAAATCACTTAGCCAAATTTATCAAGTAAGAGTCACACCTAGTTCATTAGCCTTTCCACCAGTTCAAATAATACAAAGAAAGCTAAAATCACCCTTCCCACTTCATCCTCCACTGCTTACCCAGCCCTGCCCTGCAGTGTTAACCTCTGTCAACTGTTAGTAGGCAATCTTTCAGAGCTTGGCAGTTATATGTGTGTGTATAAAATCTCATGTTTCTTTGTATCTGATATATGTGCCCTCTAACATAAATATGATCTTATTACACATATCGTTCTGCAACTTCATTTTTTGAACTTAGTAATACGTTTTAAACCTCTGTCAATGCATTTATTAGACTTATCCTGTTCTCGTTAACTTCTATGGAGAATTTTTAAGTGATTTCAGGTGATTCTGTGTATACATGATTTACACTAAAAAAAAAAAAAAGAATTTTAAGAGGTTATTAACCTCCCTGGCCTGATAGTTTGTCACTGACTTCAATGGAGGGAAGACCAGTGCAGTAAGAAAAAAAAAATAGCCTATGGAGATTCAGACCTTGTGGGTGTTTTTCTAAATTATTAATTCACTCTCAGGCAGCACTCATAAGAAAAGAGAAAGCGTTGACCTGCGACACCCCCGTTTGGGTCTGAGCAAGGAGGCCACACAGCCTGCCCAGGGCCCCAGAGGCTGCTCTGTGGAGACAGCTCCTCCTGCTGAGGGCCAGCCTTCCTCAGAGCTCCACACGGGAGCACGGCTCATCACCCAGCATTTGCAGGCACTGCTGGCCAAGCGATTCCACCACTCTGCCCGCAGCCACAAGGACTTCCTGGCCCAGGTATTACTGAGGGTCTTTGGCTGGGCGCTGCGGCTCCTGGCCAGGGCCTGCCTGCCTCTCCTGGCCTCTCCTGGCCTCTCCGTCCCCTCCCAGGCTGTTCTGTGCACGTGGGCTCCAACACAGCAGTGAGCACCCTCTTTAAGTCCTCTCGGCTTTGTTTCCTCCTTGTCAGCCTTTACTTTGATGCTTGGCTCACGCGAAGCTTCTCTGAACGTATGCGACCTCACTTAGCAGAGAAAATAGAATAATAGTGAACATGTTAATATTGTTATTATTTTTACAGTGAAGGGTAAAGTCATGTTTTCATTCATTTTTGCAATGACCCGACATATCAAAGTCATTGTCCTCTTTTTTTCTTTTTATGTTTTTTTTATTTAGAAAAAGAAACTCTGGTTCACCTATGGCTAAACATTGGCCTACTTCAGTGTTCAGTGTTGGCCTACTTCAACCATTCTTCAATGGTTACTAGGACATTCTGTTTTCTCCTATACATCTTACTTTTGCGCATGCCTCCCATAATGTTCCCCCAGAAACCTCACCTTCTACCAGGGCCCAGTTATGAGCTTCAGGGTGTGTGTGTGTGTGTGTGTGTGTGTGTGTGTGTGTGTGTGTGTGTACGCGTGTGTGTTTTTCACAGACCACAGCCCATGTCACCATGTTTATTTTCCCACAGATTGTGCTTCCGGCCACTTTTGTGTTTTTGGCTCTGATGCTTTCCATCATCGTCCCTTCTTTTGGTGACTATCCTGCTTTGACCCTTCACCCCTGGATGTATGGGCAGCAATATACCTTCTTCAGGTGTGTAGACTCGTCCCCAGAGGTCACCATTTGCCTCCGTGAGTTGTGAGTCTCCTCGATCGCATGCTGCTTGGTGGGTCCCTGGCCTTCCGACTCCCTGGGACAGTCACCAATGTGGTTGGAATCCTCAGGCTGCCCTCAGAAAGGAAATTAAGGTAACTGCCACTTGGGAAAGGTAATCCCGGTGGACAAGCAGAACTGTCAGGAATAAGGAAAGAGAAAGTAAAGGTTGGGTGAGTGACTGAAGCACCATCTTTACGCGATCCAGATGGCATGTGCCATCAGATCACTAGGCATGTTTGGGTAGCCTACCCCCTCCGCAGGAGACCCATAACCACCCCAGCACAGCATTCTGTGCCCTGTGTACATGTCTGGCACATAGTCGCCACTCAGTAAAATGCTTGTTGAGTTGAATGTTGGCTGCTTTGTCCTTCTGTCCCAGTCATGTGTCCATTGAGTAAAGCCCCTCTCACATTGTCTAGCATGGACCAGCCGGACAGCTCGCAGCTCACAGCACTTGTAGACATCCTCCTGAACAAGCCAGGCTTTGGCAACCGCTGCCTAAAGGAAGAAGGGCTTCCGTAAGTCCCTGTGCGCCCCTGCCCTAATACCAACAGCTGCCCTGGGAGATCAGATGGTGGGGTCCTGGAGTAGCAGGGCTGGGAGAGGCCCTGTTTCATTCCTGCTCTGTATTACACAGATGCTTCCATCTCCCTGACCGGCACTCACCCAGCTTTGCCTTCAACACCTGCATACAAAGGTTTTTACTACCTCCCAAAAAGCCCCGTCATCACTGGACAGCTCTATGTTTCTATAATTCCCAATAACCAAAGTTCCATGCTAAGTTGACATATGCTCCCCACAACCTATTTGGAAGGAATCTGAACAGGGGAAGGAGGGAGATGAGAGATGTGCTGTTGGGTAATTGGACCTAGATGGCATTAATTACAAATATGGCCAACTTTCCACTATTGCTGTAAGTATAGAAAAGGGAGTTACAGAGAGCAGTTGAAATCCACCAAGAATCCTAAAAGTTCAATACAATTTTAATGCTTTTTTTCACCCAGCCTTCTTCAGAGCTATTGATAAGGACCAAAACAGACTAATTTCGCATTCCTCTTTTATTTCTTCTTTCAACAGCTAGAGCCACCAGAAGAGAAAAAAGAGATAAAACCACCCACAAAACTAGATAATTATTCCCCAGTCCCACACCTAGTCAGTTGAAAACAGTCCCTGATCTTGATGTTTCTTGAGCAGACACTAAGCTCTAAGAGCATAAGAAGAAAATGTGTGGGTGTGAGGACAAGGAGGAAAGGCTATGAAACAGGGGGCTGGGCACTATTTCTCATTTCTAGGGAGCTTTCTCAACTTTGGAGCTGATTGTGAAATATTGTCTTGTCTTCCATGAGGGAGTACCCCTGTGGTAACTCAACCCCCTGGGAGACCCCCTCTGTGTCCCCGAACGTCACCCACCTGTTCCAGAAGCAGAAATGGACGCCAGAACACCCCTCACCTTCCTGCAAGTGCAGCACCAGAGAGAAGCTCACCATGCTCCCCGAATGCCCCGAGGGCGCAGGTGGACTCCCACCCCCTCAGGTACTGTGACCTTCATAGGAAACCAGGAGCCCTGAATCTGCCTGCGACAGCAGGGTTTTGGGACAATATATTGTGCCTCCTGAGTGTCTAGCTAACTAACATTTCAAACTGACAGCTGAGTGAAGGACTAAATGAGGCTCCGGGTCCTCTCAGCGGGACTTCCCAAAAGACCTGTCCAGTCACTTGGAGGAAGTCACTAACCAAGAGCTTCCTTTCCACCAAGTACTTCCTATTCAATCTAGTAAGGAAATACCTTTAAGTGCTGAAAAAATTATACGTCAAACATGCTCATTATAGAAAAATTAGATAGAAAATATAGATAAGTCAGAAGAAAAAAAATCATCTTATCACTTAGAAACAACCACCAATAACATTTCGTTTTTATCCATTCGAACTGTATTATACTCAAAATGCTGTCTTGAAACCTGCTATTTTCACTTACTAGCGTATTATGGACATCTGTCCATGTCAAATATACATCTACATCATCATTTTTAATGCCTGCATACTATCCCACTGTTTGGGTTTACTTTAATTTATTTAACCAATCTCTCATTCTTAGACCTGTGGGTTTTCCATTTTCTCCATTTTAAACAATGTTGTAGTGTCCATTCAAATGCATATATATTTGCACACTTACTAACAACCTTAATTAAGAAGCTTGCCATGTGCTGTGTAACTGACATGCATACACACACACACATACACACACACACAAACACAGCCAACAACCTGTGTTTTGCGGAGACATCAACAGTCTTGGCTCTGAGTGACACCCTCTCTTGGGAGTTCTGAACTCCAGAATGTATCAGTGAGCCCGTTCCGGGGCTTTCAGAGACAGAAGGGGCCATAGAAGTCCCACTTTGTCTTGGGTTGATAATGGTCCTCCCAGCTGACTTGCACAGAGTGGGTTCTTGTGTGGTCATCTCTAATGATTTGCCAATGAATAAATGATTCCCAGAGAGGCAGTGTGACATAATGGCAAGAGCACAGGCTTTGGCATCAGAGGACCAGAGGTTGGTTACTTGGTCTCTCTGAGCCTTACTTTTAAATTGAGGATAACTATAATGCATTACATAGCATTATTATGAGACTTCAGTGAAATAATGTGGGTAAAGAAACTGTACTATTTAGAATTAGATTCAGCTCAATGACGACAGCCCTAAACTAACAGTGGATAAAATAAGGCACAGTTTGTTTCTCTCTCATGTAAAAGTTTATGGGGGTGGTCCGTGACGCTCTGTTTTGCTGTTCCTCCATAGTAAATAGGCCTCAACCTCACTGGCCAAGATGGCACAATCTACTTTCCAGGCAGCAGAGGAAGAAGGGATGAAGAAAGAGAGAGGGCATAGTGTACCAAAAATGCTATCTTTTAAGAAAGACTCCCAGAAGCTACCACACAGCACTTTCATTTATACATCATTAAGCAGAACTGAAAGACAAGAAAGACTGGGAACTGTAGTCTTTATTCAGGTGGCTTTGTACCCAACAAAACAGTCTATTATAGTGGTATATGGCAGAAGGGCAGAGCAGGTAACGGGGGACAACTCAGTTTTGCCATAGCATCAATGACAGTTGCTGGCCTGTAAATGATTCTGTGTTTATGAGCATCTTATCTTTCTCTTTTTTTTATACGCTAAAAGCATACACCTTTATATCTCTCAAGCAATATTATTGTCCCTTTGAATCATAATTCAGCCACTGCAGCATCACAGGGATCCCAAAAGAGAAACCCGGGGAGCTTGTCCCAATTCTCTGTACCCCAAGATGAAGCTTTACTTCTGGTGGGTTTGCTGAGGGCCCCTGTGGCTGTTTCTACCCTAATACATCCAACATCAGGGTGCAGAGGCTGTGACGATGCACACTGAGTTCTTGGCTAGGGCAGGGAGGGACGGCAAGAGGGGCAATGTGGAGCTTCCGTTTCCTCAGTGAATCCTAACTTCACGGCCACCCGTCTAGCTTATAGAAACTTATTTTCAGTGCTTAGACTTTGGTCCCTGGGGAAAAAAATTTAATAGGCCACTACAGCCAAAGTCCTGGAAAAAGGCAAAGCATTTCTCTGATTTTTCTTTCACTCCTGCTTTGCCTTACCATCATTTACACCTCTCTTGGGAGCGAAATTGAACATCACACATTTGTACAGGAGCTGCTTCCCCTCTCTCTCAATCTCTCTCTCTCCTTCTCTCTCTCTGTGTCACACACACAAACACACACACACACACACACATATTTACACCCACTCACTCAGACACATTTTGCCTTTCAGCCTGGAATTAAGCCAGAGAGTATGAGCTTGGTTCAGAGGGAGTAGGTTGTCCTCATCTGGAAAACAGGGTGGGGATGCAGTTTTCTCTGGGGTCCTCTCCTGTCCTAGCATTGTATGATTGGTGGAGGGCCCTGAGGCGGAAGTGCTCCCTCCCTGACTTCTGGAATACATGGGGTTAAAGTTATAGTAGTATTTTATTTAACAGAATTTTTAGAAAACAATTTATCATAAACTTCCCAGGCACCAGCCATTGTTCCAGCCTAGATTCCACCAGAGGAGCTTG